CCTTACACTGTTCATTTTTTTTGCAAAGTAACACAATCCTTATGCGCCCCTCTTCCGCAAGGAGTTAGCTGATCCCTGGAAAACAGATCTCAATTAAATGGCTTTTAAATCTTTTCCAGTTCTTTTCTTTGAAATGGTCTGTGAGTTTTTACTTCGGACTACAGTAGTTACCATTCTTAACAAATATTATTCTGTAAGTATTTTAGAGCAAAATCCAACCAAAGCTAACCAAACAGGTTCGATTTGGCGGATTAATGGTGTTTTATAATAATAATAAACTAGCTGACAGTTATTTTTCTCACCTTTAAGAGTATCATCATCGAAATCAGGTTTCTCATCAGAAGGGCCTGGGTCTGGAGCTGGGCCTTGGGCTATGACTGATAAAATGTCGGGAAAAGAAACTTCAATTTTTATTCAAAAACTCTTTAGAGCGGTTTACATTTGAGTTTAGCGCCACTTTTCCATCCAGTCAAAAATGAAACCAAAGCCAATCCTTATTCGCTCACACAAGTTTTCCCGCGCTTCGCGTCAGCGACATGTATTTACTTCAAGTTTTGATTGGTTCACTGGATTCCCTGTGTCCTTTGTGATTGGCTAGAGAAAAGCTTTGGTTTGGTTTAATAACGATACTCGATTGAAAACTGCTCTATTCCATAACTACCAGCAATAATTCACAACAGAATTAAAATTAATGACAATTACTAACAAACAACGTTGCAAAAGTGAGACATCAAAATAATGGATTAGTTCTCTAGAAAAAAACAAGGTCTCGGTTCTGTCTTTTATCTTGTTTCGCCTTATTACATCTTTAGCAAGTTTTTTGTTGTTGTTTTTGTTGTTTTCCACATTTCCCAGGTATTAAGGGCATCCAAGCTTCATAAATTAGTTATTTTGGCTCCTCAACTAAGTTATATGACATTAGATTTCCACAGTCTGCAGTGTAGACCTTGTTCACTGCAAAATAACATCGCTCTTCAAAAATCGATGTCTAATATTAAATTTCTCTGAGAGTTTCTTTTGTAGTTTTTGCCTTCTCACCTTCTAAAACATCTTCATCCAAATCCACTTTTGCTTCACGCGATTTGACTTGCCTTTCCGCCATGACTAAAATACAAAGGAAAATACATTATATACACTGCATTTTTATTCATTCGGTTAAATTTTTCGGTTTCTGATGTTTCCGCCGAACACTTCTAAATAACATCACCGTCTAGAACTTGCTTAATGTCAAACAATTTCGTATCATTTAACTTCCCTGTCAGCAGCCCGCCAGACTTAGCCGACTCTTCTGTAAGAACTTTAAAGAGATTCACAATTCTCACGAGCGCGGACAAAGGAAACAATTCGAGAGCGCTGATTTGCACAGTAATAACAATAGGTCAGACGTTAGGGGGCCCCTCTTACTTTAAACACATTAAGGAGCCTCGTGACCTTGCGAGAGTATGACCGTAATACACGTGAATTTAAGTTCTATACGAGAGGGACAATATGGCGAAAAGGAGCTTAACTTAAACAAAAAAAGCCACGACACGCAAATGTTCCGACCCTCCCCACCACCACTGAAATGCACTCAACAAGGCACGAGTCACAACACAAGTCAAAAATTGAAAATACATCAGTGCATATCGGAGACATTACATTCCACAGTCATATAAAGGCACGATGTGCTTCTTTCCAAAACCTTCAAGGTTAGTCGCTTATAAAAAAATACGTTTGACGCACTTACTCAGTCACAAATGGCCGACCAAAAGTTTTGTATCCCTAATAGAAACTGCAGTGCGTACTTCCGCTGCAGTGCTTTGTTTATGCTCCACAGAGTTTTCAAATCTGAAAGCTAAGCAATTTCTTGCCATTCACTAATTAAAGCATTTCTAATTAGTAGATTAAAGTTCAAGAGTTCGTTCCCACGAGCGACATAAAACACAGACTATACATAAATGGTATCGAACACCTACCTCAGATCTTCATCTCAGCTCGGTAGTCTAAGGAGAAAAGTTAATATAAATCACTGCACGCAAAGAAAAGATCGAGTTTCTCAATCGGCGTAACTTCTGCACAAATAACCTTACCGTCTATTGAAAACGACTGAAAGCGAAACCAAAATTTGAATAACAAATAATCAACTTAGGGGTTTTTCCCTCCTTCCATGAAAGATCAGCCCATCTGGCTAGTAACCTCATAATGTTAATCTGACTTGTGCACGTGATCAATGGTGTACGAGAAAGGATTCGAAAAGTCGCCTGTGTGTTACTTGCTTGATTATTTTCTTTGCGCTTGTTAGTATTTTTAGTAAGTTTCTCGTCTTTGATTATGAATGCAACCTTATTGTCAAATTACCAAAACGCTAAATGATTGATAGAGGATCAATCCGTGACACTTTCTCTCTCGTTCTCCTTCCCTCCACCCCTGTTGAGAAGAGGTGTACAGATAGCTTCCTCGCAGGCTACTTTGCGAATAGCACAGAAACTCCTACAACAGCTTGTGAACTGTTTTCGTTCAGACTTTTTGTTTTTCACACTTGATTAC